TTTTCTTGATACTAAGAATAGAATGCGGTAAAAATGCTTTAAAGGCCCATTATTCCCCAAAAATGCTTTTTATTCATTTTCCAAAAGTTTTTATTAGCTTTTGTGTACTTTGTAGTTTTCAAAAAAAGTAGTCATATTCCAACCATCTTCATTCTTCTGTTGTGTTTTAGCAATAATAGTACAGATAAAGTGATTTATTATTTTGCATGGAGTACTGTTAACGTTTTGCTTAACTTTTATGAGAAATAATTTTACACATAGCATTACTTTTTCAGGTAGCAATTAGCATCTAAAATGTTCTAAAATTATGAAATAAATTACATTATAAAATTCATGCTTGCCCTTAAGTCTTAAGAATTAAAATTTTATTTGTATTTGGGTCATAATGTGCCTTTAAAAAGAGGTCGATTTACTTGTGAATTATCTGTTTTACATTCTTGAGAATATTGATAAAACAATATAATTATTATCTTGCTCTACATTATCTCACACAAATGTGCATTTTCCATTACTTTAAAGATGCCCTGAAACTTGTGAGAAACATGGAGATGCCCTTAAAATGAGCAATAAATGTATTATTAGATTTAAATAATGTGCACCATAAAACATGTTTTGCCAGTAATATAAGCTATGCTTCACCTGCTATTTTACAAGCTTGTTACAGTTTATCAAGACAACATATTATATTACACATATCATTTTTAAAGCTGCATGCCCCAGATGAGCCAGAAATATAATTATATATTGAGTCGCACCATGAGAAAACCAACATAATGCATTTGCTACCAGCATGGATCCATACCAGCCTGCGCATCTGTGCAGTCTGATCAAGATCCATGCTGTTAGCTATCAGTTTTGCTACTTGTAATAGGGTTGGCATCAGACTGCGCAGATGCACAGGCTGGTCTGGATCCATGCTGGTTGCAAACGCATTATGTTTGTTTTGTCCTGACACGGCTCATATATCCACACATAACATTGAGTACCTGAATTTGCTTTGTCCACTTTAAGAAAACTTATTTATATAAATGTACTCACTTAACTTTATGGTAAACTAGACAAGAAAAATAGTGATATGTCATAAAATTGTAACCTTTAATGGTAAAATAATTTGCAGCTTGACCAATATGAATGGCAGCACCAAGTGACCTCTAAAGTGCTTCAAATTATGTCTGGTAAATTGAATTGGCTTTGAATGTAGCTATAAAAAGCCTGAATCTACAGTGAAGAAATATTATGTATATACATGTATAATATAATACAAGAGATCCCTGTACATAGTCCAGACTTTTGCTCTTAAATAGTAAACAATTTCATGGCCTGTTATGCTACACAGCAAAATGAAGTCCTCATTGACTTTCATAACCTGATACAGGTTCAGATTTTACTTTGAAATAAAGAACAATTTCATCATCTTATGTAAAATACTGTGTATTAAAGGCCCATTATGTCTCAGTAGTTGCTATATAATTATATAGTGAATTAGTATTTTGTCTTCCATACGAAATACTACCTAATTGCTTACATTTTCCTACCTTTAAGGGCACATTACTGCAAATTCAGAGCTTAGCTTTCTTGAGCTGTTAAACATGATTTATATGCTCTAAATCCATATTATTAAAACATTATTACTCCCTTGTTTGCAATTTCTAATGTGCCTTTAAAAGGACTAAGCTAAGGTTTTTTGCCGTGAATGGACTGAACATATTTTTTCCAGATAAATGTACCATTTGATGTATGTTTTGACCATCAATGTTTGTGCAAAATTTCAGATCAATCGCGCACTTCGTGCCCCAGCTCATTTATGTAAGAAATTCAAATGTTATTATTTGTTTGGGTCGTCGGACCAATCAAATAATGGTAGCAAAATTTCAGACTCTAATGCTGTTAATTCCATTTGCCAAAAGTAGTCCGCTTTTTTCGAAGCGGTAACTACCCTTTATATGTAACACAAAGGCCGAAAAATTCAGAGGGAGATCTGACTGCGTGAATATGGTCACATGACAGGAGCATTAATTTTCCAAGCAAAATAATTCCTAAATGGTCGAAGATTTCTAATATTGTTTTATTCTTTATAGATATACTTGCTTATAGTAAGCGCCATGATTATTTACACAAGTGTTAAACAACAGTTAGCGTCGTTACAAACCCTAATTTAGTAAAATATGGTTTTCTTCAGACCATCAAAGTATAATTCACCGTGCCCGAGGGATTTGGGAGCTTGCTTAAGAAGCAAGAGGTCTTGAGTTCGAGTCCCAGTTATTTTTTTTTCAAATTATTTTTGTTTTCAAATTGTTTAAGTCAAATAAACATTGGATTGAATATCAGTGTTGCAATTAGTCTTATAGCCTATCTTCTGCAATTAAAAACGCTGAAAAGCATTTGTGACACTATACAAAAACAAATTGTTGTATAATCTCACAACCTTCACCTTTCTGACATTCTGAGACCCAAACAAATTCATCGCCTTCTGTGCTTTGATGTTTTTATATGCTTTTAAACCTCAGTGACAATGACTTCTTTCTGATGTAAAAAACAATGTTTGTAAAGTCACTGACTTATTCAAGAAATTACCATAACCGATAGATTGCCTGGGGAAAAATAGCGGAGTTATAATTGTGTTTTCTGTTTCATGTTAGAAAATTGAAACAAATATAAGTACATTAAATGTGTTTCTCAATAAATTTCCAGAAACCATTATACCAATTCCTATATTAACTAAGAATTAGAAAAAAGTATTTTAGTAGTGGAACTCAGTCATTTGATGATATTCAATGAAGATAAATCTGATCTTTTTAAGGTTCCCAGCAATAATTATTATTCTTAAAAGATTCAACTGAAAGCTTTTTAATGAATTACAAAGAAGTTAAAGGGAGACACAGGCAAAATTTTCATTTCTTAGTTTTGAATTTTTCATTAAATATTCTGTAAATGCCCTCAAAATGAATATATTAGACAGTCAAGGGAGCAAAACGTTTCTCCATATAAAGAATAAAATGATGGTTTCCTAACTTGACCCGCGTGGGTCAGGTTAGAGCGCTAACATTTCACAATAGTGGTCAAAGTGAACTCTGGAAACGTTAAAGAACATGTCAAATGTATGACTTAGACTTGTTTCAATCATACAATATCCACAATATCTGTTATTGTAACTTCAAGGGTTTGTTCAAGTCACCTGACTTGTATTAAAACTATTTGGTGATTTTATTTGCGTCTAAATTCTGTTCAACATAAATAGATAAATTTACGCTTTAAACCTAAAATATATACAATATATACAGAAGTTCATGCTAAAACTTTAAGAAAAGTCATTTTAGCGTGATTTGAGAACATAAGATCATTTTAATATTTTTGTCATTATTTTGCCTGAATATCCCTTTAAACCTTACACAATTCAAAATATTTGCAGTGAAAATAAAATCTTTTTTTCTCAATACAGTCTGTCAGATATACCGTAAAATTCCTAATAAAAGCCCCTCCCCTAATAAAGGCCCCCAGGCCTTTTGATAACGAAAACAATCAAAACAATCACCTTATCAGTGCTGTACTCATAACTAAAGCCATAATTTTATTCAAATCATTCAGAATCTATAGTATTTTATAGTAAACATATACATGTGTAATATGAACTTAAAAACCTTAACACTTTTTAATGTTATTACCAACACTTGCTAACACTAAATGTATTTACAGTGATTTTTGGATTTAGGAAAAACTGTATTGTAATAATAGCCTCCCTTTTTGGAAAATGTTTAGCCCCTGGGGGGTGTATAATAAGGATTTTACGATAAAATAGATCACACCAATGCATTATATGACATAATATGGGACCAGTGCAGATTCAGATTTGCTGTGTGATCTACACTGTTTGATATTCAGTAAGAAGATACTTACAAATGAACCAGAAAAGGCCATTTGAGCCACGTCATGACTAATCCAACATAGTGTGTTTGCAACCAACACGGATCCAGACAAGCCTGGGCATCAGTGCAGTCTGATCAGGATCCATGCTGTTCCATTACAAACCCTATTACAAGTAGAGAAACTGATAGCGAATAGCATAGATCCTGATCAGACTGTACGGATGCGCAGGCTGGTCTGGATCCATGCTGGTTGCAAACCCATTGTATTGGTTTTGTCTTGAAGCGGCTCATTTAAGAAAGGGAAATAGGTTACTTTGAAAGGTCTGTGAGTAGTTGAATATTTTGAAGACTTCACTAAAGTATGAACAATTCTAGCATATCATTTTTTGGTTGTTTTTGTTTGTCACATCAACACTTCAGAAGTTATTTAGTGACTAGCTTTACTAGTCTAGTGGAGGAACTTACCTCAGGCATTCCTCTTAGTAACTGTATTATATTTTAGGCATTAGTGGGCACCTGATATAGAACCACCAATATTCTGTTAGTTACCTGGATTGCTAAAGTCCTTCAATGATAAGAGTCCAAAGGCTCTTGAAAGATTCCAACCTACAACAAGTCAATAACTTTAACAAACTTAAACCACTTATTGCTAGGATGAAGTTCAGGTTACTTTTAAACTTGAAATCTACCAATATCTGCAAGGAATAATTTGGCTTTCACACTTAACTATTGATGTAAAGGTTAGTCCTGACTGGTAGATTATTTAGACCTCCAATGATTGTAAGGTCATAAGTCAAATGTCATAATGGCAATGTCCACAAAAATTTGTTTGACCATTTACTAGAGCACACATTGGGTTACATTTTGAAGATGATTTGGTTTCTACAGGTTGGTCATGACTGATAGATAACCTTAAATGATTTTGAGGTCATATAGTTAAAAACCTTAATGATATGTGTTCAATATTTTGTCCTATCAATAATATGAGAAGCAAGAATCCTCGAGAAGCCTATTGTTTACAAAGGGGTGGCATAATTGTCATATGTACACTTTTCTAGATTTAAATGACTATTTGTACCATATATATGTATCCATTGAATTTGAATGACTTATTTTTATCAACATTCTCATTTTCAGGAAGACAAACGTCTGAGTCCAGACTCAGCTGTTGGACCGATGTTATGTAATCAGAAAAAGGACAAAACATGCCTTGTGTGTGGGGATAAAGCCCTTGGCTATAACTTCAATGCTGTATCATGTGAATCATGTAAAGCATTCTTCAGGAGAAATGCTCACAAGGTTAGTGACTAATAATAAAACTGCTGTATAAGTTTAAATCCATATCAATTGCTAGATCTCTTTTAGCCAGGCCAGCCTGTACTTCATTGTAGTCTGACCTGAAGCTCAAAGTACTGTAAATGGTGGCAGAAATTTGAATTGTGATATTGAATTCCCTAAAACTTTGAGTATGCTGTTCAATATTCAAACAGTTCAAACAGGGCAGGTTAATTAAATAGGGCTAGGTGTTTACTGTAGGAGGAATTTGTTAAACATCTGTAATAAAAGCAGCTAAAATATGTTTGCAAACTATAACTTTTAAATTGGACAGATCTTATATGGCTTCACTTATTTTTTCAGTTACAATTAATTTAAATGTTTCTGGAAATTTATTTTCCTCAGAACTTGAGGAGAACATAATTCTAGTCATATTAAGCTAGACATTTAAAAAAAAAATCAAGCCATTGCTACAAACATGTTGTCTGTGTCCATTGCCTTTGCATTGCCATCTGCTGAAAACTTTAATATTGGTCTTTTTATGCCCACACAGAGTCCATCTGTCCGTACATCGCAAAATCTTGTGAAAGCAACTCCTCTTAAACTGGATGGCAGATTTTGCTTAAAATTCCAGGGATGAATAAACTTAATGTGTAGATGGTAGTAAAGGAAGGAATTTTTGCTACAACCAAATTTAACAGAATTATGGTCCTTTGTTGATTTTTTCACTATAAACCATATAGAAATTTTGTGAACGCAAGTCCTCTGAAACCGGATGGCAGATTTTGCTTTAACTTTCAGGGATAAACAACTTTAATGTGTAGATGGTAGTAAAGGAAGGAATTTTTGCTGCAACCAAATTTAACTGAAATTTGGCCCTGTTGACTTTTGCACTATATACTAGTACCATATAGAAATTTTGTGAATGCATTACTCCTCTTAAACAGGATGGCAGATTTTGCTTAAACTTTCAGGGATTAATAACCTTAATGTGTAGATGGTAGTAGAGGAAGGAAATTTTGCTGCAACCAAATTTAACAGAATCATGGCCCTTTGTTGATTTTTTCACTAAACAACATATATATGTTGGCAGTTGGGGCATCCGTGTCCTTTGGTCACTGTTCTAGTTTTTATTGCTCTTTGGACTGTCTTTGTACTGGGACATTAAATGATAGAACTAGCAACAAGTGTCTGTGTGATATATTACAAGTACATGCTCTGTGTACATACATGTATTAACAAATAGACATATAATACAACAGGTATATTCTCAGCACATTGTCTTTTATACCAATCATTTCACTTTTATTTTTTATCCAATTTATTTTGATGGACCAGACGTTTCAGTCTTTGTCGCAACAGACAAACATTTAAGAATTTCTGATCTGGCAGTACTTATTGAATTTATGCATTAGGTTCAACTATTTCACAAAAATATGCAACTTCATTATTAAACAACGAGCACATACCAAGAACATGGAGAAAAAATTAATATGTGCTTTGGATATTCAACTGATATAGAGTATGATTTTCAATGCTGTTTGACTGTTCACATCATTTTGCGGCGTCTTTGATGTGCAGCGTCAACATTTAACTTGTTATTTTTAAAATGCAAGTTTACACTTAACCATGTTTGTTGTAAAACATTGTACTATATATTTTTGATACAATGACTCCTTAATATAAGGAGGCATCACTCGGTAAATAAAAGCATTATAATAAGCTGATTTTACCCTAATTTCCTTCCAAGCCTCAACTTTTCGGCCCTTTCTGTTGATCTTGATAATATTACTAAGCCGCGGATTATCATTCCACTCGGTAATTTCCTGCTTTAGAATATAAATTGTCTCATTGGCATGTTATTTTATTGGTTAAAAATAAAAAAGATTAAAATAAAAAGAATATTATATTTAAACATGGATTAGTATCACTTTTGTCTAACATTTATTTCATTCCATGATGCTCAGGGACATGTTAATCATTAGAAAAGGTATTCTTATCTGAAAACTGTGTAATTTTGTTTGCTGACTGAACGAATGCATATCTACTAGACACCGCGTGAACTGAACGTGGTGTTTAATTAAATATTAGATACAAATCTTCATCTTATTTCTATAGATTTAAGTGCTCTGAAAGTCTTTAACAATCAAGTTTTCGAACATATTCACACATTTAAGATGCTGGGCATTATGTTTTTAAAAATACTCGCCAAAACATCGCATCAATTATCAACAATTCTGTATATGCAGGTGTCTTTAATCATGCAATTGGCTAAAATTTATTGAATCTGTCGCCATTTTGTGTAATTATCAACAAATAGCCACAGTATGTTAGTGTGTCCCCGATTGGTAAATGCAAACTGCCATAGATACAACGTGTTCTGATTCGTCAATCGCATGAATACATAATGAGAAAGATTTACATAGTGAACTTTTGCCTTGCAGCATGTATTAGACATTGTTGATGTTAACATGCATTCTTAACTTAGCAGATTAACGGTAATTGGTTGTAATTTAGAAGTAAACAAATTGTTAACAGCAATAGCAGCGTTAAAAGGCATGACACATCACTAAAATATCGGGTGACGTCAGAATGGCTTTGAAGCTAAATGTTTTAGGGGAAGTTGCTGATCCGAAGGCAACTTCTTTGCCCATGTCCCCCCCTGTAACCTTAAGCCCTGACTATGTTGCATATTAGAATTTATGGAAAAGATCATGTTTATCAAAGTTTAATAGATACTATAAAGTAGACACCAGAAATTAAGCAAGTGATGTATCTATTCATACTGTCATAGAAATGATAAGTGAAAGAAATTTAAAAAGAAAAGAATGGCTTGTAGAGGATTCGAACTTTCAGCTTTAACAGATTAAAAATCCCTCATAATTTTAACACGAGGCCAACACTGGTCTTGACTATGGATTAATATATATGGAAGTCTACTGCCTTTAAAAACTGGTGCAAAGATCATAATAAATTTTGTCAACTAAGGAAACAAACCTTTAAAATTCATCAGTTTCTAGCCAATATTGCCATTAATACTACCATTTATCAATATGTTGAGCCTAATTGATGCATTACAAGTTGATATTGATTACTGAAATATTTATCAAGGCCTTTAATGTAGAAAGCTTTTAAGTAAGTACTTAGTCTATATATATATTAGCAATGATATATATTAGGCCAACAATATTTTTATTAAATGTTTTACGAGGGGTTTTATTAAAATATTTCATTTCTACGTCAATTTAAATTACTTCTGAGTCTGAACAGATTGATCAATATTTGTCAAATAAGAGGACCAATAAGAAATATTAAAGCCATACATACTTGAAAGTGAAATGGGAGATAAAATTGGAAGGTCTGAAACAGAATAGATAATTATGATGGTAATATTAAGTATGATATGTGATAATTTATAAACCATGAAACATTTATATAAGGATGTTGTTCAGGTTAGTTCTAATATGACATGTCTAAATATAGCAGATAATATATTGTGCTGGAATAAAATATCATCATATAAATGTTAAAACTAAATCACTAAGAACTCTATTATCAACTTTTATTATTAGCAAGACATATTTTACAGAATATAAAAATGATACATTTCTATTGATTTTCTCAATATGTAAAATATCAATATGTAAAATACTTCAGGAAAATATGTCCATTGAAGATTGACCGCCTGAAGATAAGAAATGTATTGCTTACAAATTTAATAGCCTGTAACTGAAATAAGGTATGAATATAGAGCTCTAATATATAAGTAAACATAAAAGACTTTTCTCCACATACAAAATATGCTCATCATTTTTGAACAGAATGCTGAGAAGCAAGTCAGTATCATGAAATTCTATGCTAACTAAAAATTGCAACATTAACCTAAACAGTAAACTGTAAACTTCAATGTCTTTATTTATTATTAATTTGCTATTGAATCAAATCACAATTAAGACACTTGTCCATGAAGGCGGGATGAAAATAAAAGTCCTAATATGGAATTTTTTCTCATCTTGTGTTGTCAAAAAATGCTGTTAAAAATCCCAAAAAAATCTAATAAAATTATGCTGGCCTTAAAGAGAAAAAATGTACTTGATGATTTCTGTTAACTAATAGGTTTGATATTTTCTATCCTATTTTAATCCTTGTATGTCATTATACTGAAGATGACATTCTCAAAGAAGAATAACAAGTTCATGATAATTATATCCATAATAGACAAGAACATTCACTGAAAATTGAATTGTCAGGAAAACAGGAAAGGCCAGAATTTCTAAGGAATTTTAGTCACAAGAAACACAAGCTTCAATTATAGCCAGCTGCTTTGTAAAGACATTGGACCAAATAAGGCTTGACTTTTATAATTATGAGAATTGCAAATTTAACTTTAACATATTTATTTTTTCTGTAATTATATGTTATATAACTTAGATACTGCATTGTCAGTTATGATATACAGAGCAATAATGTATTCATTGTTTGAACTAATAAATCCCATAAATCACTAGACTAAATTAAGTGCTTAAATAGATACGCTGGGGAACTTAAAACAGAAAGATTTGAGCAATATATGTAGAAATATACTCAGAATTAAAATAATAATTCTATGTTTATGATATTTTTACCTCGATTTCTAAAGTGGCTTTTAAACTTTGGGTCATACCGGAAAAAAAGTAGTTCTGGTAAAATAGAATGAGCAAATGATCAAAATTTTTGCACTCAGGTTTTGGTCTAGACCTTCTCCAAATGGAAAATAACTATCAAAATTATTTCCAATCCCATCATGTCAAAAAACCTAAAGTGGAGTCCCTATTAGGTGTTTATAAAAGGGGAATTTTGTAAGAAATTGATTTTGAATGCTGTACACATATTGATTCCAAAAAAGATCAATGAGAAAAAATTTGAAATAAATAGCAACCCTATCTCTACTGTATTATAGCTTCTTTTAAATAGCTAAGTCTATATCCTGAGCTCTCTTAGGGAATGTAGGTTTTAAGTACTCATTAGCCCTTAAAATTTTGTCTGAAATAATGCTAACTTGATCATGTGTAATTCATCCTCCATGATAGCATCCACGTTGCCATGGTTACAAGAAATTTCAGATTGACATTAAGGCTATGGCCCAGTCAACTTTTGTGTCTAGTGTGGAAGCATTGAAACAGGAAGCTTTTCAATAAAAACAACCATTTTTTCACAAAATGCCCAGCAAGTAATGGGTTAATTAAAAGTTAATTTATTCTAAGTGATCAAGTATGAATTTAGTCATTCATGGAAAGACATCGCATTTCCTTTTTTACAGTTTGACATTTATCGGAAAATGCGAAGTTAAAGCGGATTTAACCCATTTAAAAAATAGCTTCAAATCAGTGGTTGCATCTAAATATTTGGACTAGTATGAATTATCTATGAAACACATTTAGTCCAAAAGTTAGTAATTAAATCTTTAAAAATTTATTTCACTTTGCTGTTAGATCATATTTATCTTATTTTTGTACTTTTAGTACAAAAATTTTATGTATATTAAGTGAATATCAGCTATTTTTTAAGAAAGAGTTTTCAAGTTTTTAATAAAAATGTAAGCATATAATCTTTATTTTCGTTACACATGTACGCAGATGTTCTTACATATGTTGTCTTTATTTTCAGACGATACGGGGGAGGTGTGAAGGCAAGTGTGACATAAATGTGGAGTCACGGTCCTTCTGTAAAAAATGTCGTCTTGCAAAATGCTATACTGTGGGAATGAGGAAGGATATGATATTAGGTAAAAATAACTTGAACGCCCGCTAGTCCTGAACATATAGAATTATAGTTGTCCTAATTTTTATAGCGATTGATATTGACTTATAACACAGTGATTGTTTTTCTACAATGAAAGAGGGTAATAAAATAGCTTTGTCCATCCTTCCTTCAGTTTGACAAATAATTTCACAACCAGTGCTACCTACTTTCAGATACTAACTTATAAGACCCTTAAATATTTTAAAGCCTTTATTATGATCCTCCAATGTTACTAAAAGAAATGTGTATTTTAAGGAAAAGAAGCAATGTCAATACGAGTGCTAGATTTTAATTAGTTATTGCCATGAATGTTGTACATTTCAATCAGGAAATGATTTACTTTTACATGTGTGGGTTTAATTTTAAGTAATGACTTTTTATAACTTTATTATACTAAGAAATAGCAATTTTTATCTCAACTTTTTTTAAAAGAAAAATTATAAGCTTTTGCTACAGTCAGGTTGTCCTTCCGGTTGCCATCCAGAAACTTATGACAATTATTTTGATTGTCTTCATATGTGGACACAACAACCCTCTTGACAAGATCTTCAAATGGACAAAACTGAGCGTGACCTTGACTCAAATGTCCTTGACCTTCATATGGTCATTTAATGAGTAAATGACACTTTCTTGATTTTTGCTATAATTGGCTATTATTAGTTATGAATGGATTGTCTTTACACTTGAGCAAAACATTTCTTAGGATAAGATATTAAAGATTTATATGAACACATTTAAAACTGATGAAAAGGCCAATCTGTAAAAAGTATTACTATATGTAATGGTAATGCTTTTGTTTCTAAGAACTTAGAAAAGTGTTTCTTTCAAAATTTGCATAAGGTCTTATAATTATATGTATATATGCACAATTACAGGAATGTTGGTCAGCATGTGTATTTATGCACCTGGGGTTTCGCTTGTCAATGCATTTAGTAGTTTAAGAGTAATTGTCCTTTACTTAGTAAAATATTTGCAATTTTCAGCTTGTGTCTTGCATTACTCAAAATGTATTTGACCTACAGACATGAAACTAAATACAGTAACGTTGGTCAGCATGTGTTACACATGTGCATCTGAGCTTTTTCTTGTTTTATTTTCTTTCAAGCATAGATTAGGATGTTAAGTTGAGATTTGAAATTCCTGCAGCTTATTATTGGCTTAAATCAAGATGTCAGCACTGGAAAAATTTTGATGTAGTTTTTAGGCCTCAACTACTTAAGGGTAGGTAAAGTCATGAAGAATTTTCTGTCATACTGGCTTGCTGTACGTCAGTACACTGACAAAACAGTCAAATGTTGGGGCATCTGTGTCCAATGAACATATTTCTAGTTATGTTATTTCTCATTATAATACCAAGGGACTGCCTTAGATAACAATCTCTAAACTACTAATACAGAGTCAGACATATCAGCATAACCTTACAGACTTTGAGAGACACCACATTGTTCAGTTGTGGTATTTTGATAATGATTATTTTTTTAAAATGAAATGTTTTCACATATGAACAATAAAATTATGCATATATTGTTCATATCAGTATATACATTTGATGTATATTTACAGATGATAACCAGAAAAAACTCAGAAAACAGAAAATACTCATCAACAAATTACGACGGCATGGTACCTTCCCATCAGAAGATACATACGCTGTATCCGACACTGATGTACATTCCTCAGCTAGCACATTGCTTGCCTCACAGAGCAAAGAATCTCTGAAAGAACAATTTCCAAGTTTATCTGAGTCTGATATTGAGATTTTGCAGGGAGGGAAATCTGAAGAGGAAAAGAAGAAAGTAAAAGTTGAATCAAAAGACAAATGTGTAGATGTGCAACCTTGGCATGATCAGGAAAATATTGATGATATTGTTAGTAAAATGGATGATGAAGAGAAAGAGGCTTTTCTTGAAATGAATAAGGCTCATGAGCAGTCATCATTCCTTGCAAATACTCAGACTCGACTGCGGAATCTGCCAAAAAATTCAACTGATGTGTTTAACATTGCAGATGGATTTGTTCGTAGAATCATAAAAGTTGCTAAGCAACTTACTAATTTTCGTTCAATAGACAAGGATGATCAAATTGCTCTTTTAAAAGGATCAGTTGTTGAAATCATGATGCTCAGGTCTGCTGTGAATTTTAATATTAAAACTGAGACATGGAATTTGAGTACTACAAGTTGTATAAATTCATCTGCAGCGTCTAATGTATCCTCACCTGGATCAGTAGGGAGTTCAAGTTCTGGCGATTTCCCTTCTCTACCAGCAGGTCTTGATATTAACAAACTAAGAGAGGCTGCTATGAAAGGAGCTGATATAAATACATTGCGTAATATGGCAAGACAATCATCTCAACAAGACACAAAAGCACAGGAAGTGCCTAAAGTATCAGCAGAGGTGAAAGCCACATTCCAATCACCAGCTGCAATGAATAAAATCCCTGGTTTACCACCAGGTGTAAATGCTGAAACATTAAAACAAAAATATGGTTTAAGTATTGATCAAATGAAGCAGAAAATGGCTGTTAAAGAAGAACAAAGTAGTGGCAGTGGTATTGATGATCTTAGGAATGCTGCAAAAGCTGCAGGATTTGATGTGGATGCTCTGAGAAGGGCTGCTATGAATGGAGCATCATTTGAACAGCTTTCTCAAATGGCTCATGGTGGAAAAGTTGGTAAATCACAGGAAATGCCTTCAAACATGCAGGTAAAAGAAGAAAAAGAGGAACCTCAAGGAGCTTCAAGTATCAGTTCAGAGATTCTTAAAATAGAAAACTCAGAAACAAAGACAATGTTTTCCACTTATGTCAAGTTCATTAAATCGTTAATGTTGACTATACAAGGAGATTTAATGATCCTTAAACTCCTTATCATGCTTTCATTGCATTCTTCTGATCGTCCTGGTATCCAAAATACCAGTGTGGTAGAGAGATACCAAGAATTATATGCGAACACGTTGAAAAAGTACATCAGCATCACATTTCCAGAGGAAAAAAATATGTTTGCTAAGTGTATCATGAAGTTAACTGATTTAAGAAACGTGAATGAGGTGCATACAAAAATGTTGCTCAAAATGCAAGTGGAAGATATTGAGCCACTCCTGGTTGAGATTTTTGATCTTCCGCAGTAAGGATTCCATTATCATTGTTTAAATTTTTATAAACCTGTCACTGAAATTTGCATTACACAGATAAAAGTTTGGTATCCATGCATAATAATGAATAGATCTTTGTCAGAAGTGGTTTAGACTTACATGTCATTAAATCATGTTACATGTTCTGAAAAATTTGTTGACGATGTTGAATGTTGTAAATAATGAAAGGTGTGAAATAATTTTATGTCATTCTTACAATGTATGGGGATTGCATTGATGTCAACATGGATTTGGCATTATTTTTTTTGTCATAAGCCATACATTTTCTTAATCATTTGCTGTAGAGAAAGTGCTTTAGGGCTTTGTTTGCCATGGAAACTCAATATTTTGTCTTGATTTGGTTGGTGTATTTGTTTTGTAAAATACGAAAGTATCAGACATGCTATTCATGCAAAAGATTATTAAAAACTTTTTTTTAATAAGAGTACACTTTGATACACAGTTACCACAACAACATTTTTTGTATTAAAAAAAAAAAAGGTTTCATTTATACCCCTCTTGAGAAACACAATAGTTTTATTTATTTTATTTTTATTGTTTTGATTTTTTAATTTTAATTTTTTTTCCAGTTAGTTTATAGTTCACAATATAAATATGTATTTTATTTGTTATAATTATGTTTTTTGTTTTTTTACAATTTTTAGTGAAATTATGAAGTGTCAACAATATTTGATACATAAATTTAGGAGATACATTCCGTCTTAATCGGCATTATATGGTTACAGTGTCAATTTATAGTATCCAAATCCAATGAAAAGCAAGTGGTAAATTCAAATTTGCAGTTTTCAGTGACAGGTTATATAAATGTTCAGCGCCAGCATAATACCTCATATTTCTGCCTGTTAAGATAGATTATTATAACTACCGGTGATTTGTTGTGTTTTGTATTTTTATCAGAAGAGGGAGATGAATTTTGCTCATTATGATTGTTGCTCTATCACTGTTAACTGGCTATATATTTAGCTTGTCTATCCAGCTTTGTTCTGCTAATTTACTATGTAGCATACAGGAGTACAATTCTATTGATTTAAGACCATGCCTGTCTAGAATGTAATCCCTTCTTTACTAAAAATGATTGCAGTCTAATGTTTTGAAACTAGTCCTAGTAAGTTTACTTAGCTTTTAGGTGAAGGCTTTTAAAAAGGAAGTAATAAATCTGCATTTCTGTAAGAATAAATAAAGTAAGAAAATAGTGGAATGCCGCTGTGAAAGGAAGTATTATAACATAACTAGAAGGCAGGGATTTTGTAATTGAGTTATATTATTTCATTTGAAGAGATCATTATAGAATAATTTTTGTATGACAGTTGGTCATATAATATTTTGATTATAGCATATATGCTGTAATCATAGTAAAGGAGAGATAATAATTATATTGAATAAAGAGAAATAATAACCAGATTTTATGTACATTCAATATTTGTGCAATAATTGTTAAACTGTAATTTTAATTTTAGATATATTTATAATATAATGATAAACATTGAAATGAAATGTCTAAACAAAGGTCCTTGTACAATACATAATGATGAACTAGGAAGTCTGTAAACATAGGACATGTATAATACATAATGATGAACTAGGAAGTCTGTAAACATAGGACATGTATAATACATAATGATGAACTAGGAAGTCTGTAAACATAGAACATGTATAATACATAATGATGAACTAGGAAGTCTGTAAACAAAGGATATTGTGCAATACATAATGATGAACTAGGAAGTATGTAAACATAAGGCATGTATAATACATAATGATGAACTAGGAAGTCTGTAACATAAGACATGTATAATACATAATGATGAACTAGGAATTCTGTAAACAAAGGATATTGTGCAATACATAATGATGAACTAGGAAGTCTGTAAACATAAGGCATGTATAATACATAATGATGAACTTGGAAGTCTGTAAACATAGGACATGTATAATACATAATGATGAACTAGGAAGTCTGTAAACATAGGACATGTATGACACATAATGATGAACTAGGAATTCTGTAAACAAAGGATATTGTGCAATACATAATGATGAACTAGGAAGTCTGTAAACATAGGACATGTATAATACATAATGATGAACTAGGAAGTCTGTAAACATAAGACATGTATAATACATAATGATGAACTAGGAAGTCTGTAAACATAGGACATGTATAATACACTAGGAAGTCTGTAAACATAGGACATGTATAATACATAATGATGAACTAGGAAGTCTGTAAACATAAGACATGTATAATACATAATGATGAACTAGGAAGTCTGTAAACATAAGACATGTATAATACATAATGATGAACTAGGAAGTCTGTAAACATAAGACATGTATAATACATAATGATGAACTAGGAAGTCTGTAAACATAAGGCATGTATAATACATAATGATGAACTAGGAAGTCTGTAAACATAAGACATGTATCATACATAATGATAAACTAGGAAGTCTGTAAACATAAGGCATGTATAATACATAATGATAAACTAGGAAGTCTGTAAACATAAGACATGTATAATACATAATGGTGAACTAGGAAGTCTGTAAACATAAGGCATATATAATACATAATGATGAACTTGGAAGTCTGTGAACATAGGACATGTATAATATATAATGATGAACTAGGAATTCTGTAAACAAAAGATATTGTGCAATACATAATGATAAACTTGGAAGTAAGTAAACATGTAAAAATGATGAACTAGGAAGTTTATAACATAGGACAGTAATATGGATGGCAAAATAGTCAACGTAGAACTTTTTAAGTATTAGTATATACAAGGCATAGAACTCGATAAATCTAAAAATTAGAACAAGTTTTATAATACAATGAAAACTATATTATATACAAACAGGTTTTGTTATACATGTTCAGTTGTTTCTTCATAATAATACATTCCCTTCTGTAAATTATTAGAACTTGATTTTGTTGTTTTCTGTTTTTATCAAAGGAAAGCTCAATTATGTTATGGTGTCAATAATATTCATATATTGTGATGAGAATAAACTTCTTACAATCATCAAGTTACGGTTATGTTTAATAAGGTCTGGCTTGCTTACTGTAAAAGAAAAATTCTGTTACAAACAATTATAAACAAGCCATTGATTAAATGTTAAAATAGAATAAAAACTGCCTTCCAATTTTAAAGGTTTCAAGTTAAATTAGATGTTTCAAGTCATTTGATATTACTTTATAAGTGGAAAATATTTTCCTACATTTATAAACTTGAGTTTTGTGAGATATTAAAAAAAGTAAATGAATATGTAAGTGCCTACAGTGATTTAAGATTACATGAATGAAATGAAATAAGCAAAAATGTATTTTTTCTAGTATAGTAATTGACCAGTCACTATAGTTACTAACTCTCATGCCTGTGAGGATTGTACTATCTGCTTGGACAAAACCTTAGACAAATAAATATATATTATGCCATATGCTTTAAGGTCTATATAATGTAAAGATAGATGCAGATGACATGTTTTGCTAAGAATTCATGCTTGTTAAACAGATTGTTACTTGAGAGAATGATAAGAAGAAAAATTGTAACAAATAATACTTGTTTATTGATAATTAAGCACCATTAAATGATTACAGTTACATTTCTTACATTGTTCCGCAATAGATTTAGACAAAATTTTGATTAAATGACCCTCAGTTCATGGGCTAAAACAGATTCGTAATACCATGTTGACTGTTTGTAAATCAGTACATATATTAGATTGTTTAAGCCAATATTGATACTTGCTACTAAAGAGAAACAAATGACATCCTATTTTGCTTTATTGCTTGAATACATCTTACAAAGTAATTAAGACTGATAATTATCAGAAATAATATAATCATTTAGAGGAGAATAATTTGTTAGGGAAAAAATGGATTGCACATGAGAAAAATGATAAAAGCTTGCTCTGATATCAGAACAAAAGTTTGAAAATGGAAACGACAATCATAGTTTTTATGATTTACAAAATTCAATTAGATTAATCAATGCACTCAATTATTATTGATACATTATTTATACACACCTTAATGTATAATGCCCACTATGGATACAGCTCAATCAAAATAATATTTTTAGTATTAAAATCATATTTATTATCAAATTACTCAGCTTATATCTGGCAATTAATGTCATAATGTATTTATGTATATTTTAACTAAATTTAATTAAGGATAGTTGGTACAACTCAAATTTTTTGGTGAATAAAATGGCTTTATGGTGTAACATGAGAACATTTATTATTGCTGATGATTAAATTTAATTGATACTGCCTTGTTACATTCTAAGACAGTAAGACCAATTTTTTTTATAATTACTTATGGTTAACAGTACAAAACATAATTAAAGCTTTAAGTTTGTTTACGACATGAAATAGAAAATTAGAAAAAACATTAGTTCAAGATTTCCTGTTATCAAAATATGAAGAAAAGTAACCAATATATATAAAATCAATGCATATTTGAGAGCAATAAAATTATTTGAGATTTGAATTTTGTAAAGTATACCTTTACATTATTTTGAGTTCTTTTACATCAATATTCTCTGGATTCACTACGTTTCCATAGTTACAAGGTTAAATGATTTGTTACATATTCATGATAGGATTGTGAAAGTTGACATATATCACAAAATGTTTGAGCCTTTTAGCCTTTTGGAAAGAAGGAAAACAAACTACACAATGTATACACAAAATTTCTTTAATGTTAGAAACACACTAGTGAAATGTTGATGTATAGACATAAATGCAAACAATTACCAGGTTGTTAGTTACATAGAAGCAGTGATGTAAAGATATTAGTTCAGAAAATTAACCTTACATAAAGTATGGGACAAACTTTTAACTACTGCCTCTCATAGCATTTGAAACTTGCTGTTGTTTAGCACATGTATAAAATCTAGAAAAAGGGTGTTAGTAACACAGTTGTAAAATTGATGCCATAAAGACTGTAAAAGTCATGTTTTACATTGAGAATGCAAAGGGACTCTTTGCTTGTGAATATATATTAACGCATTTTGTAAACAGTGTATGATATATTATTTCAGTTTGATTTATATAGATTACTCTTCTACAGAGTTTAAAATTGCACATTAGATAATCGTAGTTGGTTTTATCACATGCTCGCCTTGCCAATCTTGGTTCTTAAGAGATTAAAAACATTTTGTATTTTATGTTAACGTAAATAGTCAATTTCTGATATTGGAAATGAATTCTGCTGTAGAAGTGTGTCAAAATTGTGACAAGTTTTGTTAATTTTAGATGATCAGTAACTTTTATCAGTTATAATTTTTTCAAACTTTGTCTACTTTTCATTTAAGCAAGTGTGTATGATATTATATCATAAAATCTATTATTGTTAATTTTATAAAAAATTGTACACAGGTTCTTGGTGGGTTTTTTTCTTGTTTTTTTTTTCTTTTGACTATCATTCATTCATATACTTCTATTGGCATTTTTCAGAAGCTGTAATATGTACAGATGATATTGTTTTTGATTCATATTACTCAAAATTTGCCTCATAATATCCTTAAGAGATTTGTATTCATTCCACAATTTTATTTACAAATATACTCACTTTGTATGATTAAATTTTGTATAACGACTTACAACAGCATAAGCAGATCGAAGATGTATATATTTACTGAAAATCACTGTGAACAGGACAGTAATATAGATTTATGGGTGTAAGCTGATATATCAGTATATTATCAAAATTCCTTCTAGTATTTATAAAATTATTATGTTTGCTTATACGCCTTGAATGAAAAGGTTAACTTCATTATGAAAAGCAGACAAAAATATAATAGGATGATTATGTTGTCGTAGCTTTCTGTGGCAATGTATTTTAAATAAGCAGTATTGGAAAATTGATATCTCGCGAGACCAAATTTTTCCCCACACTGCTAGTAGCAAAAAAGGATGTCTGTCCATCTGTCTGGTAAGAAATAGGGTCAATCCATAAAACATTTAAGAACAATATAGTTCATGCCGTAACAGTAAAGGAAGAGACCTATGGCCCTCTACTTAACAAAAGAAAAACTCAATAGAAATGGCCCTGTATCATTCTGTCTGTCTGTTCATAGACAATTGGTATTTGATAACTTTTGAAGGATTTCAATGATTGTGTTTATATTTGGCATGTAATATGATATATCGTAACATAATTTACTGGTATGTAACAGTTTAATGAATGGAAGAGTTACACCTTCTTTTCTTAGCAATTCTTAGTGGCGTTATTGGTTTCCACAGAATAACTGAAAATGTTAACATGTGGCATGTCAATATTAAAACACATTACAACCTTGCTTTTTGTTTCAGTCAGATTTTTGCAACCTTAATTGTTTTCTTTTAATCAAAATTAAATCAAGTCATAATGTTCAATTATCTGTATTACTAATATGATAAGGTGTTGCATAGAACAAAAATAAACAAACTTTTTGGTTTGATTTTAAAAGGCATAATCTGAGCCATTAACAACAAGTGAATTTGCCACTATTTTTATATTGCACATTTTGGTCCACTTGTAAATTTGCAATCGGGTGTATATTGCCAGCCTCAGCCAAGCTCTTGTTGTCTATAATTTTGTCTTTAAGGTTTGTCAACAATACGCTGATTTTGTGTTTAATACAGTGAGGTGTTTCTAATAATTTATAAAAATTTAGATATAAATTTTGAAAGATTGGAAAATTATTTATAACTGTATGGTTGCATTATACTGACACTGAGAATGTCTCTCGGTATTAAATAGTTCACGTTTGTTTGACAAATTGTTTTTGCAAGCATGGACATTGTAATGACTCATATTCTACTTGAAGTATGGCAATATTTCAAGATCTGCGTTATTTGATAACTCTGCACGGACATCATGTCTACTTTGTCTTTTTTAAGTTTATGTTTCAACCTTGTTTTGATTTATTTGTCTGAGATATACTCGTTAAGGAAATATGTACCCTCCATGTACACTTAGTGAACAGTCTGCTGTAGTTTGACTTTAAGCTATAACTTATTATTTCAGTTTACTATATGATTGTAAATCACTACATTTTTTTTGTTTTTGGTTGTTTTTTTGTTTTGTTTTTTTATTGCTCATTTTTCATAATTATATTTTAAATGTTATTATAAACACAGCACATATCATTTTAGTGTAATTTTTCTTCCAGATACTATAAATTTGAAAACATAGTTTGCATAAACATTACATGTATATATTTATATGTTCAATGACAATTATTGTAGGTAACCATTAAGTACAATTCATTAACAATATCTGATTGTAAATAAGTTATTAAGTTATATATAGATATTGAGAATAAATCCCCAAAGGGTTAATAGAGTTGAACTTTCACAAAGGAGTATAGCAAAACATTGTTGTTAAGATATCACTTGATTATTCTGTGACTTCATGATGACCTTATAAGGAGTGTGTCCTACAGGAAGTTCGTATAACCAGTGTAAGTGCATAAAGGTGAAATGTTTAAACATCATTGTTTTGCCTTTCTCTCTTTTAATTTCAAGCCATCAAACATGCTGGTATATTGCCAACTGCCATAATTATATTAACTTTCTGAGTGCTAATTTTGACTGTTTTGTTAATTAGAACATATCAATATTTTATTTTATAAGTTTAAAGCGTGAAATCATACCCAACTTCTGCTTTATATATTTGTTTATAAATTGTTGCATTATCGTTCTGATGTGCTAGATTAAGGTGGTTAACTGTGAAGAATGACTGTGAATTTATGTATTTGATACCCCCTGTAAAATTACACTAGTGCTAATTCATGTCTGCTTATTTCTTAACATCTATATATTTGTTTGAAAGCCTTTATATAATGGAATATAAATTGTGTTACTTTCACAATAATAGCTTATTAACAATACTGAGTCTGAAATTGTCACTGATAGCTTTTGCATTGCTCTCGGGGAGGTTATCTTTGTTTCCGAATAGAGCTTTTACACAAAAATAGATGCTAAGAAATGACTACTTATACAATTTTCCATCAAATCAGTTTCGAAATAGCAGAATAAGAAGTATTCATATTTTAGTGCATGCTTTTTATTTTCTTTAAGTTATGTATACTTATACTAAGCTACCTTAGATGTAAGAATATATTTTATTTAAAACTTTTTCATATGCATAATACATTACATAGAAAATATGCATTGGGTAGGAAGCTTAAAAAGCCTTTTTTAATCTCTCCATAAAGATACTCTAAAGGTATGATTATCTTACATTATTTATGAAAGCCACTTGTTTTCTTATTTGTAATATATTTATTTTCCTTTCTGTTGTGGAGTATTTCTACATGTATATTCTGAAGTTGTTTGTGATGTTCATGATAACAAACCTTTCCATGAAATAGTTTCCAAACATAGATAACATCCTACATCTGCCATAAATAAAATGTTTTTAACTGATTTTATGTCTGACAGAATTGACAGTTAATAGTGAAGTCATTAAAGTCTGTTTGGCTGACACTGCCTGGAAAGGAAAATAAATTAAGACATTTTTTCTTGCCACAAATTATTGATCGTGCCTGAACATTCAGTTCACCATGACTCTACAAAAGTGACGATGGACATTATTGTATCTCTATTGTCTAAGAGGACAGCTATTAAGGCATATGAAGATTGGACAGTTTACATTTTGTACACGACATTGTAGTATAATAGAAGGTTTTATTTTAGTTATAAAGGACTTCATAATGATTTTTATAATGATATGAATGAGCATCTATATTTCCATGATTTGAAAGAAATAGCTGTTGAAAATACACTTAAAAAACACATTTTTCTTTCTGAAAATAACATGTAATAATTTGTTTTATTGAACTAGAATTAGAGAAGTATGACCGGATCGGGTTAGACATCAGTGATGTACAAAACTCCTACATCTTTATTATCTTAGCATCCCCAAGACCAGGTTCTAAATTATTCAAGTCAGTGTAATTAGTTTCTGATATAAAACATGGAAAGTCTCTAGTGCATTATGGTGGCAAAGTAGAAGTGAGTTACTTTAATATCAGCGGACATAATCATTTATATTATACGACTTCTATTTACCAAGTTGCCTGGAATTTTTCTTTGTCAATACAGCAGTTTATCAAAGAGTATGTGAATAACAAAGCTTTGTTTTGTTTAAACATAGACAGATATTAGCACAGAAGAAGAAGTGAAATAATGAAAATCGTATCATTAGTACAGATTAATCAAAATTCACAAAAATAAAACCTGTAAAGTTGCTAAAATTCATGAAAAGCATGACTGCAATGAATTAATTACATTACAGTTTGGTTGAAACATTAATTGAATTTCCTGCATGATTTTTGTATGCTAAAGTTATTCAGTCTTTGGTATTTTAAACATTCTTGGCATATTTTTGGTTAGTGAATATTTTAAACACAATGTTATTTATATTGTAAATTTTATCATAAAATATTGTTTATTGTACTGTAAATATTGCTGTTATCGTTTGGTAGCGATTATGAATTGAATTGTCACTTTCATTATGTTAATTTGCTATTGGTATATCTTCTAAAATTGTACACTTTATTATATTTTTTGTCAAAGATAGTTTAATCATTTCATATATATGTAAGGATTGTTCAATATTAATGTGCAGTCCTAAGTAACAATGTTTTAAATTGTAAGCGGGCACATTTGATATGCCAGAATAAAAAAGGCCCTTTTCATTTGTTGTTAACAGTTATATATTCAATTTAGTCGAATATTAAATTGTATATTTTATAGATTGTTTTAAGTGCTCATGAAAATTTTTACATTTTTTTTTACTAAAATTGTGTAAGAATGTGGTGAAAGAAAGCCCGATTGCTCATGTCACAGATGTGACTTTGTTACTTGTTACCGGTGCAGACATTTTTACTTGTTATGTGTTACAGATGTTATATGTGGTAATGTTAATGCTAATATAATTTTTATGAATTTATTTATAATAAAACTTTTTTAATTAAACCGGTTCAGAAAGATACAGATCTGTAGCGATGATCAATTTGTTTTAGAATGTAGTCTTTTTATTGTCTTAATTACGATATATGTTTATTTATTTTTTCATAACTTGTGTGAAAGATATGACTGATATGAATATAAAGTTATCCCGATATAGGGCATAATAGTACAAACACTTTTGTGATGAGGTGGTGATTATTTTTTATGTTGGTGAGAAATTGGGGTCAGTTTATACAAATTTATTAATTCTAATTTATGAATTCTACAGTTGAATATTTTCCATACTAACGTTTTTAATATTTATAAAATTGTGCATATTAAGTTAACTTACATTATATTACAAAGTAAATGATGAACTTGATGTTTAAATAGGCAATCATTATTTTGAATTTTTTTAGAACTAATTTTAATCATAACCGTGCCTTACACAGATGTTTATAAATATAAATATGCTTCTATATATTGTTATATACCCTGTATATTACGAAATAATTTCCTTAAATAAAGATAAATTTGAATCAATCTAATAATGTAAGGGAAACCATTTGGTTACCATATATCTATGTAGACCTTCTTGTAAAGCGTGTATAAACTTGATTTCTGAAGCAGAATTTATGTCATTAATTTAGAATTCTGCACTAAAAT